ATTATCATAAACGGACACGTAAAAATGGAACGTGTAATCTAGCCACCAGCTTCGTTCCACTGGGTGATCCTCTATAGTAGCTATATTTTCGAGGCGGACCCCACGGGTGCTATTTATGTGTCGAGATTGGCAAATTCATTACCTAGATAAAGAGTTTCGAATAACGAATAAAAAATAAAATAGGCACTTTTTCCATTGATTAAACGTATTACAATTTCTATAATAAAATAATACTTCTTTTTGAACGAGTAGACACATGGCGAACAATTATTCAATTTTGTCAACTGTTTAAAGGTTGGGATGACGTTTTTAGATACTGCTACTTTGCGCTATGTATTGTTCTTATAAAATTGTGTCCAACTCTGGTCTTTAGACGGGTACCATGTACATATATACTGTGTACAGTATAAAACATCACGGTTGCAAGGATCGGCAGGGCAGTTTTCTATTTTAAAGAAGTCCGACATGCGAGAAATTATTTACGGTCGCGTCCAATTTATTTTTGCAGTTTCGCCTCGAGTGGAACTCGGTGAAGGTGTTCGTCTCCTCTTTCGCCCCCACCACCCACCCCCGTTCCGTCCATCGGGATGGTCAATTTAGAATCGTCGACCTTGTGAAACATGGATTTCATCGGAATATCCGACCAAACAGACGATCGTTAATGTATGCTTCGTGCTATGTACGTATACGGGTGGTCAAACGTCTACGTACGCGGTAGAGTATCCGCGATGACAGTCTTTTGTCTGCACGAGAAGTAGCAATGCCGAAGGAACGTTTCGGTAGAACGTGCAAGAAAATGCATCCACTTTGTCGAATTTCCTTCTACAGATGCAGTATTTGTCGCAGGAATATTTTTCATGAAATACATTTTTGCACGATTCTTCTCCTCTGGAATTTCACGAAATGTAAAAATGTAGCGATGAAGTTTGGAATTAGTTATTGTACATGCGATGGCCTAATGGAAACAGTATCGAACGGAAAGTAAAAAAGGTGTCCCGTTCACTGTCAACATACATAGACCGCGTGTATTTTAACGCATAAAATATGCAACCACTGCATAAAATTCGTGAGTTCATTTATAATATAGAAAGCAGAATTTATTCTTGTCCATTAGTCCGTAAAAATGTTACCGTTTGTTACGGCACGGTGTGTGTAAACCACCAGCGATCCCACAGTTTCGAGGATCGTTGCAAATAGGGCGTGTCAAGAGTATATGTATTTGAAAAGCGTGCCCGTTTGTTCGGAAAGGTTCCTTTCAAAAGACGAGATATTCCACTAGAATAGATTCGCTTTTCGCATTTCTGTTTTCGGTAAGCCGTCTTTTGAACGGTCAAAGAGCTTTAAGGTCGCGATGATAGTCTCGTGCATGTTCTCTCTTCCGAGTCTAATCCGGCCCAAGAACATGTAGACGTCGACGAACTTGGCGCCCTCAAAGGAACGTTATCTTTCCATTGTCTATGAACATTTGCAGGAATTGGCTGGGATATTGCGATTAGCTGGAAGAAAGAAATGCTAATGCGTAAAAGGGACTCTTGCGAAGCCAACGAAGATCTCTGGTCACCCCTTTCTCGAGAACCTAATACTCTCTAATTAGGATGTGGAAACATTTGCATCGTTTTGGCGGGAGTGCTCTTAGAAATTGTCGCTTCAACGTGTGTCACGTCAGTTTCACGGGTCAAATGCTCGCGACGATTCGTTTTACAGTGCATTTTGCAGCGGGCGTTTGCCCCGCTCTTCAAAGGGCCCTTTCACACGGAATATGGTATAAACTGAGTATCGCGCGATCGAGCTTGATCATTTCGGTGGTAGTGTGTTCTGGGTGGTATGCATTTATGTGTCATAAAATTCCTGAAAAGCACAATAGAATATGGAACTTAATCAGGATATAACATGAATAAATATATAAAGGTGAGTCACTATAGTGGCGTACCGTAGTTAAGAGGTTAAGCAAACCGTTCTCGAAGGCGAAGAAATAAATCTGCCACATGACTTCCTCTGAACTAGTCTGACAGGCTCGGTTATCAGTGCACAGATTTTACAGACAGAAAATCGAAAGTCACACGATTCTAGGTATCTCTTGCGGGGCAAGGACGAATGGTGTAACCCGCACGTGATCGTAAGAAAAGGACCCGAGTTCCGAGCTTATCCTCCCCTAGGGTTACATAACAAGGGCAGAATGTACTCGATCTTCGTGAACGACATAACGTGGCCCCAAAGCTCCGGCAAAATTACACCAACGTCACCCTCTAACCCCACGAACGAGATCCCTCGAGGGAAAAGGAGAACAGAACCACGGTGAAAGACCCATTGGTGGTGGGTCACCGTCTGAAAAATCACGACGGCCTCTCGATGTCATCGGCAATACCTCTCCGTCCCTTCGATCAATCAAGAAAACCGAGCCCACCGGTGGTTTGGTCGGCCGACCAGCTTGTATAAACGTTGGAGCAAAAAGGCGGCCACGAGTCGTCCAAGATCGATAACGCCTTCGCCCAACGCTACCGGACGTGTACTACACGTATGTAGAAGCGTGTGTTGTGCTGGCTCGATGACCGAGGAGAGCACAGCGTGCGTCCCTCGACGGTGTGTGTCTCGGAGGCCAGCGCGCGAAACACCCTGGCTAGGGATGCTCGAGTCCGCATCCGTTTTTCAGAAGGTCGATTTTAAGACGTCACTGTCATATATAACATATACACTAATGGCCAAACGTATGGAACCAGGTCTGATAGTTAAAGAAAGAAGGAAATACACTCAATTCTCGACGAGTGTTGGAAGGCTCCTCCGCACCGATCATTAAATATTTCATAAACTAATGGCTAAAAGAAATATCATTTGCTTCAGAATTCCAAGCTCTATTACTCTGGTAAATTTCAATAAAAAGTCAGCGTTACACCTGGAAACCTGCCCTTGTCAGTGCCGAGGGAGCCTTCGAACATTCATCGAAGATTTACTATATTACTCTACAAAGAGTTAATGGGCGGTAACGTATTAGAACTGAAGGGAAGTGATTTGTATATGTACCGATCCCGTAACTGTTATTTTATCGTAATAGAGTTACTATAAATGGTGAATTCTGGTGCCATAATTTTTGCCTGGTAGTGTATATGTTATACGTGGCAGTGGTGTGTTAGAATCGATCCTCCGAAGAATCGAATCGGAATCAAACATCCCTAAGCCTGGCATGAGAGATCGAGGGAGAGACACGGCGCGGAGCACCTGGCCGGTTGAGAGCCTCTGGTCCCTCTACCTGGGCCGTTTAATAGGAGAACGGAGTGGCACGGAATGTCCTCGTGGTATACCCTCGGGAGCGAAAGAGACGGCTAGATTGAAGGGGATAGAGAACAGACTGACGGCGGGACGGTGTTTAAAGAAGGACACACGACACACAGGAGGCATTGTACCCGGGTTCTACCGTGTGCCGTTCCAGGTTCCAGGTGCACTGGAGAGGGCAGTCGGCTCTCGTCACGAGGCGAGTATATACATACAAGTGCTGCCATTTCCTTCGTCCGTGGTCAGTGGCGGGCGATCGTTCGTTCAAATCGCGTGGAACGTTCCACGGCCGCCTTCTGGCCTCCCTAAACTCGATACACCGTGTTCACCAGACGACGTTTACTTCGTGACACCAGGTGAAAAAACAAACGCCGTCGGATAAGATCGTAGAGTCTTTGTTTGTTACCTCGTGGGCTGACGCCAAAGATCGAACATGAGACGGTGCATCGTTTAGCGTTCCTAACCTGATCGTCTACCTATTACTAGAGAAGACTACCTAAACAGAGCCACTATAGACTTCATTTTCCTTGTATATTGTTAATTCGATTGTTAATTCGAATGCTTAAACATATACGAAGTCCACTCACTGTTCTGTATCCTCGTCATCATCCTAGTGAATGTTTACGCCTTTGCTTCATGGGCAATGCGGCCTGCGAGCACAGATCGAGTCTCCTAGCATTCCATCACCATTCCGCCCTACAAACGTTCACTCTGAAACCCCAGGTGTGTCCTGAGTAGACTTGTAGGACCTTGAAATTTAATCGAAACCTGTATTTCTCATCAAGTACTCCACAAGACTCCGATGAAAGTAAAGTTGCACACAACACGGTACCTTGTGTTCCCGTGACATACGTCAAGGAGGCACGCGCGAAGTTCCTAGGCTGGCCACAAGAGCTCCCTGCGGTGTCTCGGTTTCCTTGTTCATTGGGAACGGGAGGCGAACGCGTGAACATCGACATACGCCGCCTTCTGGCATTTCTAGCCGGGGATCGTTGCCCGTCGCCGCCGCCGGCTGACGACGTCCACACACCGGGACACCCGGCGTGATACATACACAGTATACGCGCCAAGTGGGAGAGCCGGCCAGACGGCGCGAGAAAGAAAGGAAACACGGTGCCGACGAAGAGGGAAAGAGGCGACAGGGGAGCAGCCTGCTGGCCGTGTGTATCGTGTGCCCGAGGCGGTCTGCAGTGCGACATTCGACGGACAACAACACACGCAGCGACGAAGACGACGACTTCCCGTCCCTATCCGGCCCCAGCAGCACCGCTAATAAAACTTTCGTACGGTCTCTCCTTCTGTTCCCGACCACGGTAGACACGCGGTTGGCCGACGCAGCGCGTTCTCTTTGTTCCCTCGACTCCTTCGACCTCGAGAGTCGCGCTCGCCTGCCAGTCGATCGACGGGGACGCTAGTCGATCGTTTAACTCTTCGCGCGCGTGTCAGAGACATACGGGGGCTACGTGTGTGGGAGCACAGTCGTGGTTGGACAGTGTGTGTGTGTGTGTGTGTGTGGTGTGTGTGTGTTTTGCTGAGGATAGCGTATGTATCGTGTGTTGGTGAGGAAGAACTTTAGTAAGTACCCTGGGATGTGTACCTGGGACAGGTCCCGTCAGATGGCTTTGGGCAGTCGGATGCGTTTCTTCTAAGTCCTTCGTTAGATTGTAAACAGAAGGAAGAATAGAATTGTGCTCTCGTACGTTGTACAGTGTGTCAGTGTAAAATAGATTGCGATTGGGGCACGAGAGAATACACGACAGGTTGTGTCGGAATAGTGTATACTGATGTGGCTATAAAGTGTTATGAGAAGTTATTGGTGCATCAATGAAGAGAGACATTTTAAAAGATTCAAGGTTGTTCGGTTGAGTGGCTGCAAGGGAACGCAGGTTCTCGAACGGATTAAGTAACGAAGACCCGTCCCCACGACGAAGCTTTCATCGTTTACGAACGAATTAACCCAGGTCGACGTTTGCGGAAGGAATAAACCACGGTCTGGAGAGTGCAGTGACCGTTGACGGTACAACCGAACGCGACACAGAGGATGTGCAAGGTCCGCTGGTGAGACAGCACCAGCTAATGTCTTCCGGACGACACGGTCGCGTCACGACGGGCTGCGAGACAGAACCACCACGTGAATGCCGCACTCAAACGAACCTTCGTTCCCGCCGGGCGAATTATTTTGGACCGGAATGGAGCCCGTGAAAACCAAGTACGTAGACCCCTTCTAGAAACTCTTCGAAACCTTTTCCAATCTTTGACAAAGATTTCTGCAGGCCAATGAATGTATTTTTCTTTGTTTGTCACCTTGTACAGTAAATTGTCCATGAGTGTTCTAAAGCTTCTCGGCACTGACAAGGATAGACCCCCAGGTGTAACCTTTTTCAATGAGGTTTAGCAGAGTGATTGTTATTCCTCTAGCCCTCGTATATGTTTATACAAAATCTATCTTCTTTGTTTATTAAGGTTCTCTGAAAACGTAGGTACCATCAGAACGTGAGCAACTTCTCAGCACTAAATAGAAGTTGGAGGGACCAAAATGAAGCGCGTAACTTTTCGTCTCGAATCCTCCTACCTCTCCTTCTACTTTATAAAGAGCTTTAATCTAATTCCTTCGTTTCATGACTTTCCACGTTTTCGAACGGCATAACTCCCTCTTCCTCCGGAAAGGGACCATTTTCGCGATTCAGGCTCCCTAAAGCGGACCGTCCATGATTAATGGCGAAGGTCTCTCCCTTGATCTTGATCCTCGTCGAGACCTCTGGGTAGGTAGCCGACGTGACTCTGAAAGAAATCGTCCCGGACCGATTCCGAAATTCGTTTTCACCGATGTCGATATCATGTTACCGTTCTCGTGCCCGCGGCACCGTGACCTGCGATGAATGGAGCGGGAGTTTACCAATAACTTTTAACAGCTTCGCAAGAAGTTGTTGCCTCGCGGTACGACTTTTCATTCTCGTCGGTCGCTAGATTCGTAAATATTGTATTTCATGTTACACACGCCTCTACGAGACGCCTGGACGCACAATGCTCCAAAATCAGAAGTTACTAGCTCGAATGGTCGAAAACAAATTTCTTTTATTCAGCACAAAACTCATGTCAACTGGTCATTAAGCACAGAAGTTTTGTCCCATGCGTTGTTTTCCTTTCGTATCACAATCAAATATAGAACAAAAAATTCCCAAATTTTCATTATTTGAGTTAAACGACCGCATCAGTTGCTAAATTTTGATTCTGAACCAGTGTGCGACGTCGCGAGAGTTCGCGTTCACTTTGTCGATCGATCCTTAAAAATTCCAAGACTCCTGGGAATTCGTACGGAAAGTGATCTGTATAATTCGCGAGAAACTTGATCGGTAGCGTGAACTGGTTGAACGAAACTCTGGGCGGGGAAGAGAGAAAGACGAATTGCTGCCACTCATTGTGTTGTTCTTGATGGAACTTTGCTCGTTTCGAGAGGATCCGCTCGTTCGTAAAGCCCGATTCACGCTCAAGTGAATCGGTTTTTACTCGGGATTTACGGTCTCATTACCGCGAGAGTGTGTGATGTCGATTGGGTTATTCATTGCTCTGTTTCGGATAGAATTTGGTTCCGTTGCATTCGGTGCAATTAACGACCGTTGTATTGCGAACTTAATGCGTTAATGGTACGCAAGATTATCGAAAATCCGACATAATAACGAGTATTTTGCAAAGTTCAACCAGGAGTTTATATTTTCTTTCGAATTTCTAGAAAACTTTTAATGGACAACGGATCTTGCATTTGTTTTCAGTTTCTGGAAAGTATGAAAATACGTTTGCGTGTAACGTAGTCTATTGATTTGCATTTGGGTTAGTCCCAGTTATAATTTTTAGTTTCTGTGTTATCGTACATTTGTATATTTCTAGCTGTACGAATTTGTTTACGGTTTTTCGGCAAATGATTGCCCCATATAAAATCCAATCTCCGTCTGTTAAATTTGTCAACTATGTTTATTTTATCTGTCCCTTTGAATTGCACTGATTACAGATTGACGCGGTGATTGGTTTTCACAGAGACCAATTTGTTACGTCGCTTTTTGTGTCTTTTATCGTCGATTCGACGAAACGAACTGGAAATCCCCGATAAAACTAATCGCTTTGTTTGTCGTTGCATCCACGATCCTTTCGTATGCGAATCTGTATGCAGGAGCAAAAAGGCAGTTCATATCGTCGCCATTTTTGCGATCAAATTGTCTACGTTGTGAATTACTCTTTATGTATTTGTATTTGGGTTAGTCCCAGTTATTTGCGAATGTGGTAGTTGTGGATCAGGCTTGTAAAACTGATCAGCTTTTGAATATTTAAGCTCGACAGAGCATTTAGATTCCAAAGTTGCCCTCATTTTCTGATTTTGCAATTTCTGTGATGTGTAAACTTTTGATGTTTGCTGATTCCTTCTACACATCTTTGACTATTTAAATGAATTATGGATAGTATGTCAATCGAGGTATTTGAAACGTAAAGAACTATAACATTTAAAAAATTTTAACGCCTCCAGTCATTTATTTTCCGTTGGATGTTATTACGACAGAATTTTTCATCTATTCTTGGTTTCCACGGGAACAATGGAGTTGTCGGTGGTCAAACAATCGAACATCGAGGAAATATGAAAGCGAATAACACGTTACTGGGAATGATGCAATTCTTGTAATATCTGTCATAGAACCTCGCGGTTGTAATTCGCATTGAAATGCCTCGAGGGATTTTCAGGTGTTTTTTTGCTTCTTTTTCATAAAACTTTGGTCATCAAAATTCTGGCCGCTTGTGCCCATGTTTTTCTCCGCTTATTGTTCGTGGTCGTAGTTGCATTACATTATCAAGAACCTCTTCGCCAAGTCTTCCGTTCTTTAGATACTTATGATGTCGCGGGATGTCTTTCTTTAACTTTGCGAGAAATAAATCATTCAAACACTAACAAATACCAAGTATACACCTCATTACATTTTCATAATACACAGAGACTTCCAATTCCTGAGGATATTTTTATGAAAATAAAAGTGTTACTGTTATACTAAAAAGATGTCGAATCACCAAACCTACATCACCTATTCCCTCCCTACTCATCAATACCCGTGTAATAGAGTCGTAAAAGAATAACGACGCTAATAAAAGTACAGAATGGTGCGCATGAAACCGGCCTTAAACACAAAATATTTTTGAATATTTCATTCGAGGTTGGTTTTATGTGCTCCACTCCAGAATCTAAATAAAGTCTAGGATCCAACACTCTATAAAACTCGCAAAATAAGGTCTCGGAGACCGACAATGGCAGTCGTTCTCGAGCAACAATCGCGTCCTCATGGAACGAGCATAAAGGCACCCTCTGAACGGCGTCCTCTAAGCCAATACGATCTATTATTTCGAGCCCGTTCCCTTCCCCTTTTATTCCCGTCGACTCGGTCTCCCGCCACGGTGTACCCAGTCTTTCTGGCGAGTCGAACCCGGAAACCGCCTCCTGGGCTTCACCGTAAAGCCGAGCTTTCTTCCGGATGAAAGGTCGTCGAGCTGTGAAGCTCTCCTCACAACGAAACAACGGTACATATACATATAAGTATATGTATACGCTTCGAACCAGGGCGACAGACCTTCTTTCTGGTCGTCGTCGTCGTCGTAGTCGGTGGAAATTGAAGTCGGGCGTTAAGCGACGCCAACAATTCGGTCGGTTAATTTAAAGGGCGTTCAACGGCGTGCTGGTTGTTCTCGTCTTCGTAGCTATCCTCTCGCGGAAATTAGGCTGCCGCGGCTCTACGTTTCCATGTACGCCGGACGGCGTTATTTCCACGTATGTATGTATGGAGTTTCTCGACGGATATTGGAATGTAGAAAGAGAAAGACACGACGTGTGTGTTCATTAATCTTTAGTGCACACAGTTGTGACGGTTGATTATAGTACCTTAAGTTGGGGTAACTTTGGTTCAGTGCGACTTTCTCCCTAGACAGAAAATAATCATCATAGCTGTGTAAATTGTTAAATTGATTTTTTTTTGCGTGAAAATGCATTTGATATCAAAGCAAAATCGAAAATAATTATTTTCTGTGCTTGGACTGACCTATATCCAAATGTAATTCACAGAAATTTCGTCGAAAGAATAATTTCTGTAATCTGTCGAGGATTCTGTCAGGTTTCAAATAAAGTAAATCGTATTAAATATTTCGCTATACAGAGTTCTAAATAATTTTACGTGCCACGATTAATTTGCGGACCATCAGTGCTAATCCATGAAAAGAAACACAGAATTCCACGTTCAGACCCAGGTGCAACGAATTGAAAAAGTTCGGGGGTTAATACCAAAAGATTTCTTTATTCGTTTCGTGGTTGGTAAAACGTACCCGGACGTTCACTATTCATCTTGTTTCCCATTTCCACCCGAAACTATCGCATTTGGATGGGCTAGAGAGTCTGTTTGTTCACGGTGGTCTCGTATATTACAATCCTTCTGAGAGGACGCGGAAATCCTGCCTGGCCAGCGGTCTTTTCGTTTCCCCCTTCCGTTGTTTCCAACTTGTGTGGGTGTAGCCGCGCGATCGCTCGTGGAAAAAATCGCTTAGAAAGTGCGCGCCGACTCGCGTGCACAACTTTATGCTTTACGCTCGCTGGAATATGGAACGCTCGGACCGTTTCGCGTGTTTCTCGAGGAAAGCAACGTTCTTCATAAGGAGCCCACGTAATCGTAACTGAATCTTGTTTTCGAGACAATGAAGTGAATTGAGGAATTAGAATTGCAATTACAGCAACTTGGATAAGATGATGGCGCAGAATAATCGAATTTATAGCCTTTTCGACAGGTGATGTTCCAATCGAATCTACGATTCTATTATTCTTGATGAATTATAGATTTCTGTAAGGAACACTTTGGTGACTTTAGATCGGTCCAGATTCCCATTAACGAATTAGAGTTATAATATAATGATTAGAAAAGGAGGTTCTACTAGAATGTTGCCCATCAGATACACTATTATCATCCATTTCCTTCGACGTTTTATCATCTAAAGATAACATTAAAATATATCGTACATCTTATAAATCATCCAGTATCCTCATATTACCGATCGCAACGGGGAACGTAGTCGCAGAATGTATAACGAACCGAGGATATGCACTTATTTCGTAGCAGTAACCAGCGACAACATCTTCTCCTCGTTAGCTCTCTGTCTCGTCTAATTACGGTCGGTACAAGAAGCAGTGGCCCTTGTGCTTGCTTTCGAATATTTTTCCACTGGATGTACGAGAAGAAAAATGCATGAAAAAAGTCGCGTCTTGGAAGTTTCCCTCGCGAGCCAGCCAACGAACTGCATAATGCATCAACCTGACGAACGGATGGGGAGGCAGCGAATGAAAAATGTTACGTCGTTCCTCTGGTAGCCGTATCGCGCCTCATCGATCCGGTTCTTCGTTCTTAACTACGACCACCGTCGTGTTGCTATCGATAAATCATTTTTTCCAGTTTCGTACGCAGCCTGTTTGGGCGCGTACAGAACAAGACGATCAAAATTTTCCCGCAATTGTTCCGCGGTTGTCGTCGTTCGCCCGTGATCCACCATCGCCTGGTAACGTCGTTATGTCGCAATGTTACGCGAGAATCGATCGCGAACGGGGTCGCGAGCGCGTTACACACCGATCGTTGTACCGGGGAGCAGAGGCAAGTTTCAGATGTAATTACGGTTACAGCATCGCGTGAAAGTTTAGAAACTATCCATTGGCTCTCCAGCGAGTCGCAAAGTTACCTCGATTCTACGCGATACTCTGCTGTATGCCTGGGCAGAATTTTGGATTACTTTTTTTTCATGGTCACACACGGCTGCTGGTGAGAAGTTCGTGAACATATACTGAATATGTTTGTCTTATTGTACAGAGCCAAAAGCCACTGACCATGGAATGGTGAACTGTTAGTTTATTGACATTTCCATGACCACTGAAATGGATAGTGAATTTTGGAGCATTCTGTTTCTTACATGTTTTGGGGTAGTTTTTTTTAGTATGGATGAGAACGAAAGGTGAAGAACTTTATCTTGTAATTAGATAACATGTCCTTTGATTGATTTGATTTGTTACTAGATACTGTATGTATCCACTTCAACTTAATCAGGTTTCCATTTCTTTCAGAATCTTTTTACATCCAACCTATAAGGAAGTTGTTATTAGCATGCCTGTTTCTCTTTCCCCCATGATTTCTTTGAACCTTCAGCCGCACTGACGGCCGCAGTCGATTTAAAACACCTAGTCTTTGATACCCTACAACTCCATACAAAGTTATTATATCCACTCCATCAAATACAAGATAATCCATACCCTCGTCGAGGAAGTGTCTTTGATCACTGAGTAAAAGTCAATCGTCCTTAACAATAAAACTACCGAAGACAAACACGTTTCTATTTCTATCACGTTGGAAAAAGGGACAGGTGGCCGTAGAAGAGAAACAGCGAGACAGAGAGAGAGTCAGGAAGAACGAACGAGGAAGATCCTTCGGCTAGCTTAGTCCCCGCGAACACGTGTGTATATGAACACAAGGAAACTTACAGAAGTTCACCTTCTCTCCACCGTTCTCCTCGCGTTTATCTTCCCTGGAACGATCGATCGGAATTCCCTTTCGAATCGCGGCAGGATCTCGTGCCCGTTATCTTGTTATTATATACCACCGATGCAATATGCATGCAGGCTTTTAGCCGACGAGCGGCTGAATTTAAACGCGGCATTAACTCGAATCAAACTCGAAGGCCCTGTGCACGCTATGCGATCGTATCGTGTGGCTAACGTCGGCTGAGACGTCTACGAAGAAATCGGCTTGACGATAAATCACCCTGAAAACTCGTCGAAGGGTGATTCTTTATCGAGGAAACATAGGGAAGAATGTTACGTGAATGTGGTTCGAGACACTGTTCCTCGAGTTTATTCTTTTGTCGGTCTCTGCCTTTTTGACCCGTTTACTTCCACTTTCTGCAAGGTGGTGATAGAATTTATTGTTCAATGATATATTTAGGTACAACGAATACAGAAACACCTTGTTTGGGTATTTTCTGATCTTGTTTCGTTTGCATTTTTGAATCTCATGAACCTTAACACTAACAAATAAATTTTGGTTAAAATATTAACACGAACATTACTTTTTACTTGAAGAACAAAAGATAATTTGTAGGCGGATTACACAACAGAGTGTTAAATTTATTGTACAAGATATAGCGAATTCGTAACATATGCTCCCTGAGGACCAACAACCACCGAAACAACTGAAACTAAACTGGAACTATTCGAATTGAAATTTGAGTTGCTAACACATTCTACTCTCCTGAGTGAGATCCAACACCTTCCCTCCTCGAATCACATGATTCTCCAGAATGTAGTATACCCAAAGGTACGTTTTCACGTGACACTATATTGTGACTTTTACAGTCATGATACTAAAAATGACACTATACTATTGTAACTTCTGTCGTCGTAAAAACTAGATCTCGTGTTGTCGTGATGTTGGTCGCCATTGTCATACAGTGTCACGACAACAAAAGCCATAACATTTACTGTCAAGTGAAACTGTACCTTAAGTGTTCGATACTGGAAAAATAGTAAATAAAATAAGCGAATTTCTGTCTGATATAATTCTGGTGAAATAAACCATAAAAATCTATATTTTCTGGTGAAATAAACCATAAAAATCTATATTTTCATAAATATTCGAGGTCTATCTATAAAGATAACCGTCAGGAGGTGTGATCACTGGGGTAACTGAAAAGATTTTTCTTGGGTGTGTTATCCTTTATCTAGCAATTATAAACCCACTCCCACGTAGCAAATATCTACATTATAGCGTAACGATCAACGGAGACAACAAACCTAACCCAGATGCTTTTGTGTGTTTTTAGAATGGCGGCCACGGGTATGCCGCCGGTCACCGGTGTGCTCCAACCACCCACGGGCTCGACGCTGACAGGGTCCACGATGTCGAGCCACAAGAAAAGCTGGTGGCGAAGAGTGGCCCCCTGCCTCGCCTTTCTCGCTGCTTTTTCCACCGCCATGGCCTTGCTTCTCGTCTGGAGCGAAGCTGCAGCCTTGAGGTAAATTTCTTTATCTCGCTAATGGCGCGACGGGGTGGGGGGCGTACAGGTAACTACGCCGATTTTATTGCTGTTTGGAGGCGTTGCGGAGAAAAAAATTGGCGAGACTGCTTTTTTGTCGACGTTGTTCCATGGAATTCTCTCGTTTTGATTAATTGACGGTGAAGAAAATCGGGATTGTATCTGTTTTGGATAATTAGGATGGAAATTTGTTCTGTCTCGATTAATTAGGGTTAAAATGATCTGGTTAGGTTGCCTCCATAATGGGTATTCGAAAGTATTTGGGTTATGAAAATACATACGCTGTAGATTATGTACTTTGGTGCTCACAGAAGTTTTAATCCTGCTATTGTCCTCACTTATTCTTCACGTTTTTATTCCTTTGAATAAAATTATAGCAAACTTTGAAGTGATTTGTTTTTAAGAAATGGGAAATATACGAAACATTGAAGGTACGTTGTATATTAAAAAGAAATATTTTAAAACTTAATACCTATTGAAATATAATCTTCATTTCGGGTCATATATGCCTGAGGAGAATGTAGCAGGGTTAATTAGAAATAAACTTTAGAGGCTGTGATCACGATTGAATGACGTTTACTCACTAAACTGGATGTTACAAAAATTCTAGTTGATGAAATGGATTAAGTCACGAATGCAAGAAGAAGGAACTTTTTCTACTCTATTGTGTTTTATGTCAGGCAAGTATTTACGATCAAATTTTACGTATCCACACTACAAGTATTTCGATTCTAATCGGATTTCTAGTATAATTTCACCGGGAAGACTTCTGTAAGATTACATAAGTCCAGAATGAAGTAATTACTCCACGGTACCGTAGTTACGGTTCACAGAGGCTTAAGCATTTCAAATGAATCTCTTCTTTCAAGAAAGTCTCCCCCTCTGCGTCTCGAGAGTCCGTTTTGTTGGGAAGTTCCACGGTTTCGTAATTTCTTAAAGCGCGCGGGGAGGGGAGGGAACGTAAACATTTTTGTTGTCCCGTAAAACTGGAGGACTCGAGTGCGCAGAGATTACTATAGTGGTAGGTCTCAGTCGTTTATGATGCTCTCTATTAAATGAGAAGGAATTTACGTCGAGCGAGCGCTAAAATCCAACGAGAAAAGTATATTATTTTTTACGTGTACGGTAGGTATAGTTCGTTTATAGACTTTTATAATGCGAGAAAAGTGATTCAAAGGGGTGTTCCATTTCGTGGGAAATCGAGATGAACGGTTTATGAGGGTCAAACGCGCACGTTAAACTGACGTACATTCTCGTTCATTACCATTTTTCTCGTCGAATAGTTTTTCGAATGGATTTCCGTATTCGCACCGATGATGAAGGGTGCAAATCAAAGCGATACGTGTCAATCCGATTAAACAAGTTCACGAATAATCGTTTGGACTTTAAAGCTTAACGCAAGCACCGTTATCGAGGCTGCATCGTAGGAAGCCAAATATTTGACCGTAGCTTTCGACAAAGAACCGCGACAAAGTGCTTAGCGCGTGGACGGTAGTTCCGATATCTTGTTGACAGACATAATCCGGGGCGATCCTGTTGATTTAATAGAACATGCAATATTATTGGTCTGCGAAGATCAATTGGCAAGAACGTATAGCCATACTATTTAGCAGTAAACGGAGATTTATTCGTGCCTTTGTCACCGTTTTCGTTACTGTGTCGATTCTTATTTCGGTTCATTTTTCAATTGTACGAATTTATGGGAGATATCATCGAGTGAAAACAACGAACTCTTTATCCAATAAAGCATTCGTCGAGGCAACAAGTTTCCATTCGAATTTTTATAAATTAGCCCGTAAATATTTACAGAAACATCCGCAGTCTGATGATCTTATTTTTCCCAGACAATTGAATATACATAGATTCGAATAAAATAAGAATTATATTCGATTAAAGGATTCATTCCTAGGTTGATGTTTCGTTTTATACATCCGTGTCTGCCATAGACGCGTAAAATATTGTCGATAAAGTTTAGAATGAATCTGATGATAAAGATCTACCGCTACGTGGCTTATTCTCGGGATCGGATCACGGAGATACAGAATGTAATACTATGTTATTCGGTGCTAGACACCGCAGAGTGAGTGTATTCCATAAATAAACCATTAATAACATTCCTTCGGCGGAACAGTCTCAGCCAATTACCTCTTACCTGGACAAATTGCTGTCTGCGGAATCGCGTCTGCTGGGCAACGAAGCGGTATTGTCTTTTCCTCGAGAGATCGGCGCCAAGAGACCCTAAGAGAGTGCAATTGTTAGACGTGGCTAATTACTGGGTCACTCGATGATTATCCTTTCCCTCCGACGACGGCGTGGCGGTTGCGCGAAAGGCTATTAACGTCGCTCGACAATAAGCTTACCGGAAAAAAAGTACGTTCAACGAGGCTTGTTAGTATTATAAGGCGATTACGATTAGCAGACGGACCCCGTGACTTTATGAAATGAAATGCTCTTGATGAGTTGTTCACACGTTCGACGTGGTAACTGATTGAAAATGTTTGTTTGGGAAGAAGCGAATGAATGATTACAGGCGTAATAGCTTCTATTGTTTATCGTTGGTCAAGATGATTGGAGGCTGTACATTACCTTTCGGGTGAATATAGAAAACAATCCAAGAAATAATCTCCAAATTGATACGAAAGAAATATTTCTACCTTTTGAGTGAATGAACTCATCCAAAAGGGGCTCGTGGTATCTCAAAATTGATACGAAAGAAGTGTAGGTACTTATTGAGTGAATATAGATCACGCAAAAGGGGATCTCGAAATTCTCCGCGAAGGGTGGGAAAGTAATCACCGACGAACCCCGCGATTTTCACCCTCCCTGTGTCAACCCCAATTCCGCGTATACACGCGTCACACGTACGCGTATGTGTCAGGCTTAATGAGACTGCACAGGATCGTGGGCGCATTAAAGCGGACGTACCCGTTCCAGGAGGCAGGCGTTCGACGCGAACATGACCAGGGACTACGTGTTGAACAGCGTCTCGATGGACAATCCAGAATTGGTCGCGTACATCAGGGAGGTCCAATTGAAGTCCACCACCCAACAGGACCCGTTGAACGCGACACAGACCACCGAGGAGAAGTACGTGGCCGGTTTGACAGAGGGGAAACGCGAGGGTGTCTACGTGGAGTACATTAGCAGGGTGAGAAACGAGCTGTTAATTCGTCTAATTGCTGGCCGAGCAATTGCTGGTCCAACAGAGGGTACAACGTGCTTGTAAAATCAACCGGTAGCTGAAGCAGTCGTGGTTCCGGAAACAAGCATCGGTGACGTAGAAATATGGCGTGAGATCTTGACGTATGAACTGCGTAAACTCTGGGTCGGTTAAGATTAGTCTCTATTCAACGTCGATGTTTATTAACGGAGGAAATTCCAACGTTGAAATTGTTCATTCGTAGTTATCGTAGTAGAATAAGCTGTACCTGGTAGACATGGGTAGAACACGTTTATCGGAACATCTACTTTATGATCATAGCTAGAAGAACTCCGTTGATTCTTTTTAATTTTGTAGAATCCTAGTATCTTCCGAGTATCGTTACGTTTCTTCTGAAATTAACGTCTGAACGTTTTTAATAGTTCGTGATTGTCGAGACATTATGGAGGTTTGTAAATCTTGTGTAGATAGGAGCTGTTTCCAGCACAGGCTGGCTCGAACGGAACCTTAGCTGGCGGGGTGTTCTCGTGCTGACCGATCCTAGAAGCTTCTTCGAGGCTCATAGGAGCACGAGGAACTCGAAGACGAAGGTTCTACATGCTTGTCTTAGCACCGATAAGGATACCAAAGAGGCAAGTGGACCCAGTGAGCATTATTTCAATATTAACTCATTACATAAGTCACAAGCAGTGAAATAGGGCGATTTTTATACATATAATTATTTAGTACTTATAAAAGCGTACAAGAAAGAATGTAAGTACTATGAAAAAAAATGTTTGGATCGGTACTTTTTGTGTAATGAAATATTGTGTTTATGCAACTTTGGGCAATTGAAAACGTTGGACCTTAATGGGAAACTGCAACAAAACGGTTGTGTACATTGAGACAGCTGACAAGAAAGTTGGAAAGTTCTTCAACCGAGCGTCATAGGCCCCCGTAACACAGAATACATTATTTGAATTACAGATTACTTATCACCAGGAGTCTGAGGTCCAAGTTACCAAACTGGGGGAGGGTCCAAACAGTTTAGTGTCTTCAGACGAGGGTCTACCGACAACAAGATTGAAATGTTTCCCTTTATACAGCGTCCTGTTGGCTTACAGCGCCACCACGTTGGACTATCTGAGTCTGGATAGTCCAGACGCCCAAGACGGCCAGGTAGATTATCAATATTTCGATTCTCAAGATCACCATCAATTATGCTTCCAGGGGAAACATTTAGAATTTCCTTTGGCACAGGTGCTCGACACGATTCCCTGGGAGACGACGAGAATATCCGTTGTTTCCATACGCTGGAGTCCTCATCACAGCGAGCTGGAGACGAAGACTCTGATCGATAAGATGACTAGCAGACGATACAAACTGATGCACACCACAGACACCGGGAAGCTGATCTTCATGTACAACGCGTTGCTTAAGATTTGAACATTGACTCAGACTAGCTTTCAACACTGGACCGTTCTACGTCCCCTAGGACATACAAGGAGATCGTGACGAGAAACGATATTTCACCGTGAGAATCGAGGATCGTTCGATCACAACGGTGTACCCCACCTTCATCCAGCGACCAAACGATTGCAATTGTCACGGGTGCAATCCCGTTTTCGTCCCTGGAAGACCACATCCGTGCACCATTCGAACGTATCTTCAATTTCCGGACGAAATACGTTCCTCTTCCATCCCTCCGACAAGGATCGTAGAATAAGTCGAGTTTATCCGTAGATCGCGACGAATTTCTAGTTTCGCCCGTTTACAATTTCCACTTTTTGTCGAGAGGTAATCGACGATATCAGTTTGTTCTTTTTTTTTTAAGTTCCCCGTCGGCGCCGATTTAACGGACACGTGACAAAAGGACTGAGATCTGTTTCTCACGCGTAACAAAGGCGCCCGTATGTATTTAGTCTCCCCGCGGACCGGAAGTTCCGACGCGTGTGTCGGATCGATCTCGAATCTCGCTTTCTTTCCCGCGTTAGGGCTCGCGCACGCCTTACGGAAGTGAACCAAAAAAGAAAACAAGAAAGGGAAACCGAATAAAAAGGATGTGGAGAGAGATGATCGTGGGAGAAACGCGAGAAGTGGTGTTTAGTTTCGTACTTCGTATTTTAGCCTAGGTTCCGTTTTAATGTAGTAGCGGTTAAGCCAGCGTAGACACCCGGGACGTTTTTTTTTTTACGAACGATGTAGATTTCTTTTATTTTTGATTTTTTTTTTGTCAACAAGCGACAGCCATGCGGTTCGACGTACCCTTCCCCCTCCCCCGAACCGTTAAGATACTCTCTGTCGTGAAACCGAGCTGTCGCAGTGATAATGAGTTACTCTGATTACCTACACCACGGGCCTTACTAGCACGTAAGTCGATATTTAGCCGAGATATCGTAGAATACAGGTGAATCGGGTGCGTGCTTCGTTAAGCCACGGTTCCACTTGGTTGTAGGTGGAATGAAGAATACACTTGATACGGTTCTTCGGGTATGAAGGAAACTCTTAAAGTTATTTTTGAAGGACAGTGGACAGATTGAGGAGATGTTTCCACGAGTTTTTGAAAGCAGGCATTTGTCGAGTGGAAATCTGGCTTAACGGGGGTTACTTTCTCCCGTCGAGTTCGCGGTTCGTCCAGACTGCCACTCCTTTATTTTTACGATGACGATCTAGCTAGTATCTTGCTGTTAGGTGTACCAATATACGACCAATCTGGTGTACCGATAAGTATTCCACGATTTTTTTGTGAGATTCTGTATTTATTCTCGAAATAACTCGGTATAATTTCAATATTCTACGTCTATTCGGACTAAATAGAAAATCAGGAAGGTTTTCTGTTAGAAACCAAAGTGGAGTACTTGCTAGTACATCTAGTACTTTGTTCCGTCTGTTTTATTCATTTTAGTCGGGCGACCTTACTCTGTTGCCTGGTACACATTCTGCTAGTGCTTTCCTTAAAATCATACCTTTTCGTTCAGAACGTCCAAATTTGAATAATCTAACCCTCTTTCGTTCATTCCACCAAAGTGTCTCTTTTGTTCCATGAATCTTCAGCGACCTTATAACTCAAAGTCAGAAATCATTATTTCCACTTGTTTCATTATTTTTGCTGCCTGATGAGGATCCTTCAGATATTATATACTTAAACGTGATTATACATGTTACTATAATCCGGAAAACATTCCGACACGGATCGAGGAAACGATTTTCATTCGTCACACGGGGATAAAGTAACCCTTCGAGGACTCGATTCACGATACACGGTCCCAGCGACGTATATTCGCGGGACATAGGCGTCGCACTTACAGCGGTACAGTGGACTCTCGATAACTTTCTGCGCTCGAGACTGTAGGAGGGGAAATTTTTTGAAAACGGAAATAGACTAACGTTTGGAAAGATAGCTGCTCTTGGGAAAGTATCCTCACGAGCAAATTCAGCTTCTGTTAGGGAAAAAATGGCGTAGGGGAAGGACCTTTTACCACTTGGTCTCGGGTGTTATTGAAATTTATGCCAAATTAATATTCAGTTTAACATTTATTTCAGTACTTGAAATATATTTACCATGTTGTAGGAGGCCCTACCCCTGCTCTGCTTTTTCCCCCAGCGAAAGCCGAGTTTTCTCGTGTGCGGAACATTATCGAGCGGAAAGTTATCGAGAGTCAACTGTAGTACTTAATTGTACTCCGAATCAGGATGAAGTTCACAGAGGATTTAACGAGCCGTTTCGACGGGCACCGGGATCGAGGCGGATTTATTACTCCCAATCGACGATCATTTCGCCCGATAGATCGCGGTCACGGAACATTTAGCCGACTCGAGACGTGTATCATTCCTCCTGGAGAAAAGTAATCGTTCCTGTTTCCGGTGGACGATGTCGTTATCGGTCGCATGCGACATTTATACGGATGAAAAGGAAGTTCGATATTTTCCGGCGACCTGTCGCTTATCGATCGAGAATGGACACAGCTGCGTTCACAGACTCCGCTCATCGTTCGTCCGCGATTTGTCAGTAAGTGATCGATTATTTTTTTCTTTTTGCAAAATAATAACTGTGGGTCGAATTCAGAATATCCTTTGTGCCCTTTTTCATTTTTGAAAATGGCGGAGGATGTTAGAGAGAATGTATGTCAACGATGCAGTACAGTCTTCTGATTTCACGGATACGTAATTATTGAATTTCATATGATTGATTACTTACTGGTGAACTTAATAAGTGCACGGTGGAGATCTGTCGAACATAGTTCTCCGATCGTTCGGTCATGTTTCTTGCCCGTTTTTCTGGACCCTGAAACATTTGTACGATTCATTCGGAGAGGACTGAACGGATTCTTTTGGAGAACAATAAAGGTAGATATTTTGGAAGAATTCTGGCTTCGCTGTTGGACTTTGTCAGTGTGTCTTGTACCTCTAGTATTCCGTATTTATCGTTCGAACGTTCTTCTTATAGACATTGTGTGTTCTAGCAGGAGAAGTAGAAATATCTTTCAGCCATCAATCTTCAAAAATATATTACGTAAGTATTTTCAGCAACTAAAGGTATGTATAATCTACAATTTTATTCTTAACATACATGTACATTTTTTCATTCCTTGCGATGTATGCGGGACTTTTCACTCATTGAAGCTAATTCCTTATTCCAATTTGAAGGTTTCGAATCGGAACCTTTTTCGTACCAATAATTGTCCATGCACTAAACCTCATTTCCATGAAAAAAGAATTGGTTTCCTTAAATTTGACGTTGCAGTTTCTTCTAAGAATTGCGCAACTTCGTCCCACTTCTTTATTCCCGAACAAACACCTAGCCTCCCTCTTCCCCAGACCGTTGCAGAAATCATTCCAGAAGAATTGGCCACATCCCTTAAGAGAACAATAAAGACAAAGACTTTGAGAGATTGTGTGCTTCGTCCTACTTCTCTTTGAACTTCTTTACCGCGTCCCCTTTCTTCCCGTCGGCACCTCAACTTTCTTTCTTCTTTATCTCGAATCTCCAACTGAACTTTCCTTGAAGCCCTTTCATCGTCCACCTCTATCATTCGAGCTGCCGTTAAGCTGATGCATCGAACTGCGAATGGTCGAAACTTAAATTAAAACAGCACCATAATTCATCGATAAAATTGTGTTGCTGTTTTTCTCGTATATAGGCGTAGAATTTTCGAACGGACTTCTCGAAGAATTATATCGGAGTGTTAAGCTAGTACACTCGAAGGAAATTTTCACGCTCGAGGGATGCACGTTTTTACCGGGTAGAATTTTTATTTCTTTTCTTTTCTGTCTTTTTGTTGGAGGGGTAGAAGTTCGGAATAAATCGTGGAAACAGGGGCAAGAAGGTACTGGGAGAGGAAAGCGTTTCTCGAACACAGCAAGAGCACGTTTTTCACTGTTCCGTTCTCTTTTAAGGAAAGAAGAAGTATGATTCGACACGAGAGACTTTTAGCTCGTTGAAAAACACGAGCGAGGAGAACATTGGCTCGATAAAGAAGCTAGCACCTCGAGAATATACCGTTACCGGAAATCCACATGATTCTCTATGAATCTTACTTATGAAATATGGCAAAATTCGTAAAAGCACTACAAGATGATACTTGCTCACAAAATAAAAGATCATAGAATAACTTTTAGGAGTCCTAGATTGCTGAATAATTTTTTCTTATAGAGGTCGAAGATGTTGATAAATTCTTAAGCTACCCTCCCCTTGATAAATTAATCCTCGATATTCGACCATCATGCCTTTTTTACACATGTAGCAGGTAAGATATATCTGAGAGTCTAGAGAACAATAACGTTCAGCTGCAATAGGTTTAAAATGACGTAAATGCAGTTACTGTTTTACTGCTTCAGAGTTATTCTTTTTTTATCTTATACAGTTCCAAAAAATATGAAAGAATCCAGGGATACTTCCCACGACTACACGATGCAATAGTTTACAAAGTTGAATGTTGAAAGGCTTTTTTAACCACAATCCTCTCGTTTTGGAGATAATTGAGCGCGAAATTTCGCTTGTCAGGGGGGTCACGGAGGGTTAAAATATTGTACTAAATAAAAGTGGCATTCAGAACAGTCTTTACAATATTTCCATAAATAAACTGGGATACTCTGTTGAAGATGTTCTGTATGAGGTAGAAATCGGAAAATTGTTCGCTTCAGAATCGGGCGTTGCTACTCGTTAATTTAATTCACATCCCCATAATGGTATCCGCTTCGAATAGAATATTGTGCTCGACGATTTTATCCCCCTATTGTCCCTCGACCAGTATGAAATCGTCGTGCTGTTTCGTGAAACGATAGGCCGGAACGAGGCAGAGAGAGAAAGATGACTAGGGGGTAATCCGACAGTGAATTTTTTTCCATCATCGGTGGGAATTGCGTTTCGTTGCCAACCGGTTCGTCCCTCGTTCCTCTGTCTCCTCGTTTTTAATTAATAACTTTTCAGAGGCTTTTGCGGATCCGGCCCACGCGATTCCGTGGTGTATGATTTTTCGCTGGATCCCACGCGATGCGAATCAATCGTTGAAAATTGGGTCACCCTATAAATAATGTGGTTTATAATAATGGGCGAGTTTTCTGAACAGTGTGTAACGATAATAATTCTGGTATCGTTGTATCGAATTTCAGGCACGTTGATTGATTATCCTTTTGAATTTTCGGAATTAATTGAATTTCCAGAACGGTTGTGCGTTTCTGACCTAGAAGGGGATAGGCGAATAGAGTTAATCTTTCCTCTAATCTTGGGTCTATCAGATTGCAGCTAATCACTGGGGATGGTATTAATAACAAAGTAAATATGGCGTTATACAAGCACTTCCAAAACAAACAATACAACTATTTTCGTATAATATTTATCGTGTCTCACTATTCTAGTGGCAAACACAACAAAAACTGTCTATTGCATATACAAGAATCCATTATTATTTTTAATCATAGTGACGAATTAATGTTCCTCGTAAAGCTTGCTGTCAATATACAATATTATATGCATGGTTTCACAACAAAGGCTCGTAATTTCATTCATTTCATAATGTATTGATTGATTCTTCGTCGCGGTGCACCAGCGCTTTTCATATAATTTATCTTCGCGATAAATTAATATCGCAGCGCCTGGTTGACATAGACATACGAGGCATCGACGTGTTATATATTATTTAAAAGTGCAACGGCAAAACACGCGATACAGATTGTTTCAAGCTGTACGCTTCAACTCGTTCAAAATGAATTTTTTTCCGTCAGGGAAAAACGGCGTTGTTGTCGCCATTTTGAAATACATTCATCTTTTTAATTGGAACTGCATTTGTCTACCACAGTGGACGCTTACTTTATCACTTTGGTGACAATATTCGGAACATTTCTTAACGATC